TCTGAAGCGCCAATTAATTCTCTTCACATGCCCAGCCTAACTTGAGTCATCTGAAGTAAAATCCTGACTTGCTGAAGCTGCCAGCAGTCCTGCCATCATGCCAGGTATCTGGCACATGCAGTTTTAATGGAAATTTACCCTGAGGTCTTGATTTCTTGAGTGCCATGGGTTATCTCAGTGTTTGCATCCAAAAGCTTTGGAAAAATAACATGGGGACTCTGAAAGTTGTTGTCTCATTCTGCTAATGAGAAATGCAAACACAGAAAGCACAAGAATATTTATGTACAGCATTGCTTAGGTTATGATTACATATATCCTGAATATGAAAAATTAGGTGGTATAAAATACACTCATATTTTCACATCCACAGGGCTTCAGTGAGAATTTGCTTTCTCTCATGTGGAGCTTTCATGCTTGATACCAGGTGCTAATGATTCCTGTCTGCTTAAAAAAGACCCATTAAACAATTAAACCATTCAGCCAAGTTCATCATGTCTTTTGAAACAGAACTTTAATAGTGAGAAAAAATAGGAGGGATTTCTAAAATCCTTTTTTCTTTCCTTCTTTTCCAGCTGAAAATTGACTGGCAGCTATCAGCAAATTGAAGACAGGGAAACTTTCAGAAGCATTTGCTTTCTAAGCTGCTGTTGCCTGCAGTCTTCTTGATATCAGAATTTTATTTGCTTCCTGCATTTTATTGGAAGCTTTTGACTGAGAATACAAAAAAAAAGTATTTGAATTGCTTTTGGATTTCTTACAGAGGTTTTATCTTATTTTAAAAATCTGTGAGCTGGATGTGCATTTCATTCCTTCTCATTTTTCCTTTTGCTGCTGAATATGTTTGTATCCAGCACAAAGTGGAATGCAAAATAATTGAGTAATTTGTAATACTGAATATTAATACTGAAAATAACACAACCCCCAATATTCTCAGCAGTTCCATTTGTAACTAAAGATTTGACCTGTAGTAGTGATAACAAAGTATTTTGATATTCTCTGAGTTCTATGTTTGCATTAAAACTTTAAAAATCTGTCCCAATCTGCTGAGATTTTTACTTCATGATGATGTATTCTCAGTGACACCTTAGTTTTCAAATGCTTGTAGATTCCCACCCCCACCCTCCCCCGGCCCTCAACTAGTTAAATTCTTTTTCAACACTGCAATAGGAGCTAAATTCCTTACTCAAATCTTCTCAATGCTAGATTATCTACATGAAACAAATACTTTTAGGTGTTTTCCCATCCTTTGATATTTGAAACCAGACTACTGCCTTTCTACAAGGCTGCTTTCTGAAGCTCACAAACAACTTGGCATTATACACAGAAGACTCCGATCAGTTTTTTAAACAACATTTTTCATGCCATGCCACCCACGTGTAAGAGTCTGGGGCTTTCCTCAGCTCTCCAGTCTTGCTGTACTTCCTCTTTTTTTCCCCATGTCTCCAGTCACCATGGCAATGTGTGGCTGAAGGCTTGGCTTGTGACTCTTTGGATTTGTTCGATGCAAAAAGCTGATAGACAAATGCCTGGAAAAATTTCTGCATCTAAAATTATGTTTTTTGTGGGCTTGAGAATTGGGAACTCAAGTTCAGGATTGAACTTTAGGTCCTTCTCTTTGCTGCATTTGTTTTAGCATTACCATGAAGGTGAATGCTTTGTGTGTGTTTTGTAGCATTCCCCAGGGGAAATATGAAAATTGTAGCTTCTTTGGAAAGATACAGCTGTGTCCTGATGTTGGCAAAAACTCTATTAGTGTGATAAATGGGGGTAACACCATGTCAGGTGTGTTCAGGCTGAGGTACTGAGGTATTGTTATTCCCTGTGATTCTCAAGCACTGAGAAGAGAGGTGCAGCTGGCAGGAAGGTTATTCACACTGTGACAGGCCACTGGTGGCATTCAGGCAACCAGTCTGGGTTGCTGAATCTTCTGGCTGATGCTTTAGCTCTTTGCAGGGTATAGCTGTGGGACTTGTAGGCTTTTCTGGTAAGGATTTTTGTTTGGATCAGGCAGTGAATAGATTAATCAGGGCTGGTGGTGAGATTCAAAAGGAAACTCTTTCACAGTGATGATCTCAGTTATTCTCTAAAATGTTTGTTCAGGAGAAAATGTCTATGAATTGGAAAAAAAAAACAACCAGAGAGAAACAATAAAAAGGCTATGCACAATGCCAGATGCCATTAGAGGATGAAAGTTTGTTTTCAGAACATGTTTTTTAGAAACATTGCTTCGAATAATTTCATCAGTCTAAAGAAAATTGCACATTTTACCTTTTCTGCTTTTAGAGTGATTTTTTTAGGGAAGAATGGGGCTGTTCTGAGTGTTGGATACTGAGCATTGTTTGCTGTGTTGGACACTGAGCAATGTTTGTTGTGTTTGTATAGTGGTCCTTGCTCTGAGATGAATAATTGAAGTAAAAATGGCTGGTGAGATACAAATAATCAGAAGAGATTTTGTGAGTATACTGTAAGTGGGGTCAGGAGAGAGTTATGTTCTAGCTTCATGACCTTCTCAGGACTGGGCTCAGTTGACAGATAATGCTCATGAAATTCCCAGAATATAACAAATAATCCCCCAACACCAAATAAATATTCCTTGCCTTCAGTGGAACTAATAATTTGAAGTAAGGCTGGAACTCAAAGGAGAAAAGCTCCTATTTTTCTTGTTTTTAGTGGATACCATTGAGAAGCATTGTACACAAACATACTCCCTGGGAAGGCTACAAATGAGATCACTAGCAAGCTGCCAGGAGTTAAGAAAAGGAATTTTCTCCATCCAGCCGTCCTCTGGTCCTACCTTATAAATTTCCCTGGGAATTTCACAAGATTTGTATGCATGCTATTCCCATACCACTGAAGAAGCAAGTACCCTTTTTCCTGTGAGGGAGAGTGTTAATTGCTATGCCCAAAGGGGAAACATGTAGTCTTCTGCCTAGTAATTAAATGAAATGATTGAAAGCCATTAGACTGCCCAGCATTTGTACTGGCTGGTTGTTGAAGACAGCTGGCTTGCAGGAAGCTGCCTCGGGGTCATCTGGTTATTGAGCTTTTGGTTCGATCTTAGAACCAACTTCCTATGTAAATAAAGGGTAAACATTAGCTAAAAATGTCTACCTTAAAGTATCAGGTATTTGAAGATGTCATGTGTTTCTTCAATAAAAAGCCTTCGAAGATTAAAATAAAGGTCACCAGCCCAATTCAGTTCTCTGGTTAATGCTTTTTGCTGGTTTGATTTGATCCAGTTGCCTAATCTTACTGCAGGACAGCCTATGGAACGGGCATCAAGAGAAAACAACTTGGCACAACATGCTACCTAATCCTGGGTTTATTTGTAGCCAGTGCCATGAAAATTGGCTTGGTTTGGGCTGTGGGGTGACAGGGAAGGCTCTGCCTGCAATCAGTCTGTGCAGTCACATGTGGGCTGCTGTACAGGGAAGTGAAGGATCATCTACTGAGCACATCAGTAGGTAGAAGCAGAAGTGGGATATATTCAGAAAACCGACTGCCGTGTAGTCAGTCAAAAGCTACAATGACTTTGCTTTTTACCTATGTGCATGTAAACGAGATAAGCTTTTTTAATGCCTTCTTTTATCTCAGTGCCAACTATTTCAGGTGTGTTATAAATGAAAATATGAGGCTTTAAAAACACTGAGATTTTACAGCTGCAGCATGTTGGTAGTCCAGGATTTGTTCTTTCTCACACAGATTTGAAAACACAGTTGTGCTGTGAGCTCAGTGCCTGGTTTTTGAAGGATAAAATGGTTTAACTGATCTTATTTTTACTCCCAAACCTAGGTGCTGATTAAAAAATACCTGTAAGAGCAGTAACTGTAGCAATAATGTCTCACTACAGTGATCTAATCTGAAGCTATTAGCAGCTGCAATAGTTATACCACGAAGAATTTTTCCCCTTTAGCATATATTATAAAGGCTTTCCCTTGATTAGGTCAAAAGTGCTTGAAGGCTGTTGATTTTTGCTCTGTTTTAGGAGAACACACCTCTTTTTAACACTAATTGCTCAGTTTGAATTCGAATGGTCAGGTGAAGCAAATGTATTTGTGCACCTGATTTACCTCTTTATCTGGTCAGAGATAACACAAAAAATCCCCTTCTGATTCTTGAGGTGCTGGAGACCCTGTGGTCTGGGGTGTTGCCCTGCTACTGCCCGGTCACACATGCAAGGTGGCTGTAAACCTTTGCAGTGTATTTTAACAAAAAAGTGGTGGTGCTGTTTCCTGACATCCCGGAAAACAGCTGCACCTGTGAAAATGCCTGTTGCGTGGAAATAATGCCTGTGTGCTCATTAGGCTGACTGGGGTGCGTTGCTAAGTAACTCAGGGTAACAGTGGGGCTGTATGGATCCTTTATGGTGGTTCCCGGTCCCTGCAGAGATTTCCAGATTAGTAACATGGACGTGGGAGAGGCTGATCAACTAAGACACTAGCAGTTCAGCCCCCGCAAACTTAACTTTTGTTGAGAGTTTTTCGAGAATGAAATTGGATTAGACCCAGGAATGACGTATCCTGTTTGATTTCTTTTCCCCTTATACTCTGACAAGCTTTGTGTTTAGGCAGGCTTTTGTTTCTGGCTCTGAGCTGCTTTAAAAAAGTTGGGAGTGCGTCTCGGGGTGTCGAGGGTGATACGCTTGCATTGACTGGCGAGGTTTAGGTCGAGCTGCTTGCAAGTGCTTTGTTCTTCTCACCACCCCCAGGCCAGTTGTACAACATGCCCGTACGGTTTAAAAAGGAAAAGGGGGAAAAAAAAAAAAAAGAGAAATGCTGAGTAATGCCAGCGGTTTCTCAAATGGCTGATGCAAACCTGGAGAATTTGCATCATCACTCAGCTAGAGTAACTTGGTATGACAAGAGCTTAAATACAAGTCCATGCGGAAGCTGAGCTGGTTTCCAATGATAGGGCAGTACCACAGTGTGAAAACGCAGGTGTTTCTGAGCTGAGCTTGGATCACAGGAAGGGCTCACATACTCTTTAAGAGCTTGTTACCTGTGTGTAGGAGCAGCTGGAAAGATAAGACAAGACAGAGGAAGAGACAAAGTAGTTGTCTGCATAGAGGAGAGGAAAAATCCCCTTCGGTTTCTGCTGAAAACTTTTCTGCCTGTGCTTGCCAGCAGTGTGTTGGTGGCACTGTAGCATGTTTAGGAAAGCTGCTGTGCCCATGGTCTCTAATGGAAGCTACTTGCAGGGACAAGCTAATGGCAAGTTGTCCTCTATGGACAGCAAACAGCCAGCCCAGGAGGGAAAAGTTATGCTGAAGAAGAAAGTGACACTTATGAGGGGGATATCCATCATAATTGGCACTATCATTGGAGCTGGCATCTTCATCTCTCCCAAAGGCATCCTGAAGAACACAGGCAGCGTGGGCATGTCCTTGACTGTGTGGACAGTATGTGGTATCCTCTCACTTTTTGGTAAGTCCCTGAAAAGTTTCTAATTGGTCTAGAGGGGCAGCTGGTGAATTATTGTGATTATTTCTCTGATTTTATGATTGGGTAGGAAGTCAGAGTGCAGAGCTTGAGCACCAATGGAACTACAGACGGTTTGTGCTGCATGATAGTTTTGTGGAGGGTGCAAAGATTTGCAAGCCCTGTCCCCCCACTCGTGGCACCAGCTGGTGAAAGTTGGAAGCTTTTTTTTTTTTGTGGGTCCCTAAAGGAACAGGAAAACCAAATGTGCGTTTTTCCCTGTAGAACGTGCTGTATGTATATTTTTCTCCTGTTGTGAGATGTATTTATGGTTTGCTTGTAAAGCCCCTGGCTGTGGGATGAGCATGATGCATGAGCACCACTGAAATGTTTAGACAGCTCAACCTAGTTCCCTAGAGGCTACAGCAAAGTCTGAGAGGAATAATTCCCACTGTATGTAAGATGTATTGGCATGAAGGGGAGAAAAACAATAATACTAATAACCCCTTTTCCCAGCTCTTTTCTTCCTTCCTTGCTCATGAAGTTGCTTTGAAAAACTGGGCTACAAAAAACTGTGATGGAAGCAAATTTACCCTGGGAGTTTTATTGCTAGCCTGCTTTTTGTGGGAGTTTTTGCTAATTCTTTGTGCTCTTGAAGAGTGTTGAATTCTGAAGAAGTCCAGTTAAGTTGTTCTGTACACAAAACCCTCATTCAGAGTGGAAAACCCTACCCTGGCCTCTGTGGGACAGAGGGTTCATTGACCTGTTTAATAGAGTTAATCTCAAAGAAACTGAAGAACTAACATGAATATTGGCTTTATTTAAAAAGGAAACTACTTGTTTACTGGCAGGAGTGAAGAGGACAAAGAGGAACTAAGTGTCTACTTAATAGGCGGAACATGCAAACGCCACCTTGTAAATTGGCTCTGACCTTAAAAGAAATATTCTTTACAGGCTAAACCAACCCAGGCCAAACAAACAGTCCTAGTAAGTTTGGACCCATCTGGGTGAAATCGTAAATGTATGGGTACAACGTGCAGCATAATCTCTTGTACAAGTGTGGAAGTTCTGCCTGCAACAAAATTCCCCTATCAAGAAAAACCTCAGATGCTATTTGTAACCCTGTCAAAAGACCTTGGGCTTTTGAGTTGCTTAACCCAGAATTTGCTTAAGCACTGAATTTATGGCTGTAACTTTAGTAGTAGTAATCTTCTGGCTGTGTAGTGAAGCTTCTACAAAAAAAAAAAAAGCTTCACGAAGAAGCCAAACCAAAACAAGAAAACCAAAATAACCCCCACTCTTTTATCAGACAGATTTTTTTAGGCAATTTTCTAGACTTCTAGATGGGAAGAACTGTGTAATTTGGCACAGCAAAAGATAGTATCTTGTTCTCAGGATGTACCTGTTACAGTTTGTTTGCTTTTTGGTTGTTCTTGCCTTTTTTTTAATTTTTTTTTTTTTTTTTTAGTTCCCTGCATGACTTAGTTATAGTTAAATCACATGTAGAGATCGCGTAAGGTCTTGCTGAGGCTGCATTTATAACATATATTAAAACACAATTTCATTTCATCCTGAACCTCAAAAAAAGAGGCTGGCAAAAGAAAATGCATAAACAGCTTTCTTTGGTGTGGCTGTAAGGGTTCCTTTAAACACATCTTCAGGTAAGCTAAAGAATAGCAGATAAAAGTTGCCACATTTTTGCAAAGCCTCAAACAAAACAAATTAATAAAGCTGGAGAATTTGTCATCATGTGGTACAGCTTTAATTGGCTTTTACATGTGATGTGGTTTTGACTACTGTAGTTCTTATCTAAAAGTGTGTGACATAAAGATGTGCAGGGAAGAGAGCTGAAATGAGTTAATGCATGTTTCTGATCTTAACTCTGTGTGATGCAGTGCTAACAAACTTTATTACTGTTCATTACTGGCTCCTCAGAGCCGTCTTCCAAAAGGGCTGCCTATGTTTTTTAGTTGTGGAACACTATAGATGTGGTCCACCTGTGAAGCTGTGAATCCCCAGCTTTGTAACTAATTGATGGTTCCTGACTTTTCACTGCATTTGTAGTACACAAAAACACTCCACCAGTGTTGAAAAGCTGTGACTATGTCACCCCCTGAGTTTTATATGTAAAATGTTAGGAGTATCGTTGAGTAAAATTCTTAATCTGAAGATCCTGCTTCCAAATTTGGGCCGTTTGATTGCTTTTAGCCATGGCTGAGGTGAGGTAATACAGTTTTTAGACCTTTAGAGTTTGAGCCAGGCATCTCTAAGGCTGAGAGGAGTAAATCAACCTTTGATAACAAGTGTGTCAGAAATCTTTCATTTAGCGATGCAGTCTGGCTACCTGGGAAGTAACGTGTCTAGTATAACAACCCACTTTCTTGTCCCTCTTCACAAGATGCATAGTAGTAACAACACTTACTGCAAATAGCTTGTCCAGTGGCTTTAAATATAAGTGGATAAATGGTTTAGTTTACTACATGTCTAGCTGAATGAATTAAAACTTGCAAAATTCATTGGAAAAAAATTAAAATATATAAAAAGTAGTTATGATACCATAGCAGCTCTGTTGTTTAGGCTATAAATTATTTGATAGGTATTTCTGGATATCTCTCACGTTGGCCCTGTTGAATTCTCACAGGTGCCCTCTGCTATGCTGAGCTAGGAACATGCATTAAGAAATCCGGTGGTCACTACACCTATATCCTGGAGGCCTTTGGCCCGTTACCTGCATTTGTGAGGGTCTGGGTTGAACTACTCATCATTCGGTAAGTGCATCATGACTGTTTCTGATGGCAATGCACTTGTCAGTCATAAAGAAAAATCTCTTCTATATGTTGGGCAAAAAAAATCAAAGATATTTTGGTCAATTAACTGTGTTCTTTTACTATGATTGCTTCAGAGGGTTTAAAAATGCTGTTCTACTCATCAGCTTTGAAATGTTCAAGGAGACGTGTATATTGGGGAAATAAGAAAACTCCCTGCCACAAAAATCCAATTACTTGCCTTAATTTTGCTAAGCTTACTATTGATAGTCCATTGATGCCACTAATAATGTTGTTTGCCATACCTAGATAGAGTACAGAAAGGGGAAGTCACCTTTACCTTTTCGCAGTCTTAGCACTACCTTCTGGAACAATTCCTGTTGTCTCTGGATACAGGAATAACACCTGGTGAAACTATTGTCCAGTAGTTTTTAGAGTTAAGGGCACTGTGTATGCTTTATATGTCAGATTGGGCCCTGATTTTTTGTTTTTGTGGGGTGTTGGGGAACTTGATTCTTACTTTGAAAAACACTAACTAACCAAATAATGAAACATTACCTTCACATACCTAAAATGTCCAGTGTATTGCCTTGGTGTGCAGCCTTTGACCTTGTGCAGAAGAATTACAATATGAAGATGTTGAATAATATAATATAAACTTTCATAATGTAAATGGATCAACATAGCAAACTCATGTGTAGCCTCTCCTTTTATTTTTGCAATTTTGCTGACTTTGGAGATCTTGATATATGTAGAACAGGGCAACTCACTTATATAAAATGTCCTTGGGAATGCTCCATCCCCAACTCAGGCTGGTTAGCACTTCTTTCCCCTCTGTTCCGCAATCAGCAGATTAGTCACAAATGAGGCACAAGCCTCATTTCAAATCATGACTATGTTTACATAACACTGACAGGTTCTAGCATGGACTGTTGAGTTTAAAAGTGCTGATGGTGCTGAGTCATAATGAATCTATAAATCCTTATGTTGTTTCCAGGGGAAATAATTTTGTATGTCAGATGGTCCAACACAACCTCCCCACCAAAATGTAACCTTTGAATTAACTGCGTAATTTCCATCAAACGTGATGAAAGGGCAGATGTCTCATCTGTATGAAACTTCTGCCAAAAAGGACAATCAGGAAGTGGATTGAGACCTATGTTTTCACAGTGCTGTGAACAGCTATATCATGTCACATCAGAGAATCAACAAACAGGAACAATATTAGAAATCCCCCTCTTAATCTACACTTTGTGTGACAGAGGCAACTTATTAATTTAGGCACAAACACCCATAACAAAACCAGGCATTGTAAATTCCTTTCTTCACAAAATAATTATTTTTTTTACATATGACGGTGTCCCAGGAGTGTTGTGAAAATGCTTCTAGTAATCGTCATCTGCCCCACACCCAGAAAATAGTCATGTTGCATGGGAGAGAACATCAGTGGTTTCTTTAATCACCCAGTCTAAGAGGCAGCGAGGAAGACATACATGTTGTAACTTGCAATGATCAGAGCAGCACTGCTGAAACTCTGTGTAGAGTTTTATAGCTGACTCCTGCATCAGGAAACTGACTGCTTCTATCAAAGAACTTGAGACCTCATATATGTTTATTTTTTGTTTTCAGCAGATGAAGTTGCAGACGCACATCTCAGCTAGGCTGGTTTTTCTTATGAAAGATTGCAGGATTATTACACTTATAGGCTGGTGGAGGAGTAACAACCAAAACAGACATTTCTTGCTCTCATGTATCTCTGTAAAGCTGCTACTTGACAGTGGAGAGCACACTTAACTACTCTGCCCACTTACTGAATAGTTCTGCCTTACACTGCACTGCTTCTCACCCAGTGCAACTGTGAACCTTTTTCTCTCCCAAAGCCAGGTTGTATTTTATATATATTTATATACATTTAAAAAACCTCCAACAACTATTTTTCAAACAAGTGAAGACAGCAGTGTGAATGCATTGTCTGTAGAGCTTCACTTGGTAGTTGCTAAACAAAGACAGGAGGAGTGTGCTGCCAGGTGCCTGACTCGCCTGTGGTATGTGCTGGGACCCTGTGCCTGGGCCTCATCTGGTGTCTTCCTGTATCCTTGCCCTTCTGTGGAAGCTGGTTATGCACTTTCTACCTGCTCCAGAACACACAGCTATTGAGGCCTGCCAGCCTGCCTGTAGTACTGTAGTCAAAAGGAAAAACAGAATGAGTAAGGTTGGAAAAGACCACCAAGAACAAGGAGTCCAACCATTTACTCAACACTGAGTCCGCCAATAAGCTATGTCAATAAACATCCCATCTGTGTGTCTTTTGAATACTGCTCCATTCTTTGAACTTCTACCTCCACTAATTGACAGCATTGCCAGCAACATCTCCCCCATGGAGAGGGAGAGTCATGGTAATGTCGGAGGCAGAGCTATTAGAGGTGTAATTTAGGAGCTCTGTTTTTAGAAACAGTGGTGTGGATAGCAGTGACTGCTTTTATAAAAAGGCTTTTCCTTGAAATGGGAGGTCAAAGTCCAAGTTATGGGGAAAGAAGCTGGGACTGAGGAAAAGAAGTCTTGGACAACTCCAAAGATGTGATCTTTCATCTGATCTAGAGCACTCCAAAACTACTTATGGAAGGCTGCATGCAGTACTTAAAAACCAGATGCCTGGTGATCTCCTGACACTAGAAGTATTGCAGTAAATGTCTGTGAAAATCCAGACAAAATTTGCAAAGCCATTTGCTGGCCAGTGAGAGGAACATCCCCATGCTTGGGAAATGCACATGCAGCAGCCCTTGCTTGTCCATGCAGAAACTTACTGAGGAAGATTATTCTGTTCTGTGCTGTTCTGCAGCTTGGTCCAACACAGTGTGTGACTTCTGAGTTGAGTCATAACACAGAGAAAGTGGGTTTTGTTTCCATGGTGCAACTCCCTTGTGGAAAATTCTTTTATCGTTTAATGGAGAACAACAACGTCTCTGCAGAATTTCTACCCTGTTCCATAGAATTTTTATCAAAATTCTGTGAAGTGAGGTGTGGCAGGTTTTTTCCCAAGAAATTTGGATGAATTCTTGTTCAACTCAGAAATTCTTTGAGAATCATGTGCCTGTTGTCCTACAGTGTATATGCGATAAACCACAGATGCCACCAGCTGTCCTACTGAGGGTGAAAATGTCCTTCTAAATGGAACATGAACAGTAACCTGCAGACACAGGCTAATTTGCTACTAATATGTGTCAGTGCTAAGGCTTCTGTCAAACAGTTAGCTTCTCTCAAATAGAAGGGCTGTATGAATATTATGAGCATTTCAAATTTGTAAATGCAACAGCTTTTTGGGTGTTGGAAAACTTAACTCTTACTATGAAAAACACTAGCTGGCCAAATGAAGAAACATTATGTCTTTCTTCATATTCCTTTGTTTTATGGTATTCTATGGTATACTACAGGGATTTTTGCTTTCACTTGTAGTGCTAGGAAATCCTTAGTCAATAAAAGGAACAAATTCTGTTTGTATTTTAGAAAATCCCATTTGGACTGTCTCAGAATTTATTAAAATACCTGGGTAGGTTTTGGATACTTAATTTAGTAAACCAGAATTCTCAGCTTGAATGAAATTAATTTGCTTGTGTCTCTGAGGGGTGAGATATATATGGCCACTAAAATCCACTGACTTTTGTGCAGGGTGTTGCCAATGTAATCTGATTACTGGCTATGTTCACTTCAAGTGAGTGAATGAAGATTTCTATTGATACTTTTTGGTTTTGATTATGACTGCTTTGCAGCATGGAAGTTGTAAGAGACAACCTGGTAAGAAGTGTTGCTGTCAGATCAGAATCACTGAGCAGTGCTGCATTCAGAAACTGTGGTACATGTCAGCAAAGCTCAAAGAAAGTGCCAAAATTAAGGTTCACAGGTCTCGGATAATGAAGTTATAGTGTGATCCAATAAGAATAATAGCTGTGTACTATTGCAGATTAATTTTGTGACCTTGGTTTTTTTTTCCACTCTAGCCCTGCTGCCACAGCAGTGATATCATTGGCATTTGGACGCTATATCTTGGAACCTTTCTTTATGCAGTGTGAAATCCCAGAACTTGCAGTTAAACTTATTACAGCTGTCGGCATCAGTAAGTATCCAATTTTAGGTTTCAGGGAAAGGTAAAGATTATATAAATTGAAAAAAATGAGCAGGTAATTGTTTAATGTAAATCATTAATTACCATGCATCCAGTGCCAGGGGCACCTGTGTGACATTTTGCCTGGGTGTGGGTGTTTGTGAACAAACACAGGAACAAAAAGAACAGCAGACTTTATCCGTGGCAGGGAAAATCTATTGTCAAGGCTGATTCTGTTGCCACTTGAATTAATGTCCAAATTTTCTTTTTGTAGAAGCAATTTCAGTCTCTAAGAGATGGTGAGGTAATGCCAGAGATATGCAAGAAAGATTACCTGCTTTAAGTGTTTTGCACTACCTTAGATTTAGGAGGCAGTTAAATGCCAAGTATGATGCCATGAAGAAATGTAGTTCTCTTGAGTGCAGACAGACAACATGAGGTCATCTTCCCCAGTCCCACTCTTTCCATCCTGGCAATAATCCTTGTTGAGGCGCTTGTAGTTCAGAAAGCAGGAAGCAAATTTTGGGAGCAGAACATTCAGCCTGGTGCATGGTTGTTGCTGGCTTGTTGTCCTACACTTGCTAACTTTGTAGTTAGTGTAAAAGGGGTCATTTAGGGTTACAGAAAGCCAATATTTGCAGTGGAAAGAGGGGCACTACCATGAGAGCAATGGCTTTACAGTGTACCTGGGCTGGTATGGAGGATGCATGAAATGGGAAGGCACAAAAGACTATGAGAATGGCACTCTAGAGCTTGTAGCATTAGAGGCTTGTTTCCCTGTCTGTCTGGTCACTGGTGAGGATACTCCGTGTGGGCACACTTTGGAATTCAGCTGTGCTGGGAAGGAGTGCAGAGTAGACCTGAGTAATTAGTAACAGATTGTTCCTTTCAATTTGCTCAGTGCACATATCAGAAACAAAAAGACTGGAAAAAGGAATTAAGACATGCAAAATGATCAAAGGCCTACAGGAGACCCCTTCAGTTTTGCACAATAATAGGTTCAGATGACTCTTTCTTCAGGGCAAGGAGTTCAATTTACATTGAAATTTCCAGTCTCCAGGTTACTGTGGCTTTTTGTGGGAGCTCACTTGATAAGATTTCCTTTCTGGTTGGAGTGTTAAAAACATATGTGACTGCATTCCTTTCTAACTTAATTATGCATAAACTATGGGTTTCATAGGAGTAATTGAATTAGGGGTTTAATTTTGAAGTCAATGATTTTTTACAGCTACATCTGTCTAAAACATTTTAGTGCAAGAGTGAAACATGTTCAGTAATGTTAAGGTCACTGAGACAGAAGGAATGTTAAGTGAGGACTGCATCAAAGTGTTTTGTTAATTGCTTGTGAGTCAAGCACAATAGGTGAACAATTTGAAATATGTTTTTATTGCTTTTAATTTAAGTGAAAATCTGTGTGATAAGCCAGAGCTTGGCAAAATAATTGAACAAATAAGTAGCTTTGCAGGGGAGGTGGAATTAGGCTGAAATAATCACAGCCTAAAGGGAGAAGGGAGGTCACAGCAGACAGTCCTGTACAGAGTGGGTCTGTATGGAACAGGTGGGATGAACTGGCATTTCACTGAAAGGAGGGATTCTTGTAGAAAACTTGTAGTGGTGAATGGGATGACACTGAGAAAAACAGTGATATATCAGACTGAGACTTTATTCTTTGCAGTATGCTCTACAGTGGAGTTTTATTTGTAGTAGTTCTTAGAACTTCTGCTGCACTTAAGCTCAGTGATCACAGAGTGTCTGGCTGTTAATCCTTGTAGGGTAAGAATCAGCTGCTGTGGTGGTAATTGTTATGAAAGTTTGGTATTGGGCATGTAGGCAGAGCAATAAGTAAGATTAAGTTGGTGAGCTGAGCAGACACTCTGGAGCCCTGAAGATCTTACAATCCAATATAATGGTGCAAAAAGTAGTATCACTTCAAATTTTTAGTTAATCAAGAAGTGAAATGACACGCCTTTTTTCTTACCCATGTCTGGTCCCTTTTCCTTCCTTGCCTGATGAGAGAGCACTGGTCGTGTATATGTCTTTATTGCACAGGGAAAGGCAGTGGGATGCACCACTGAACTCTCTCCTTGGGTAAGACTTTGTTCTATTGTTTTACCTTGTCATTTCTTTTTGTACGAGAAAGAAGAGGTAGGAATTTTGAAAAATATCCAGGTAATCCCCTGATCCCAAACACAATCAGTGTTATCTAAACAATTTCTTATAAATGTTTGTCTAAACTAGCCTTAAAATCTGCAGTGTGAGAGTTTTTTAAAACATCACTAGTATTGTAGTCCAGTTTTTTCTATCCTTGTCACAGTACAGCTTTTCTCTTTCCTTTTTTTCTTTTTTCTCCCCACCTGAATCTCTATTGATGCATCTTAAGCCTATTATTAAAAGGTTGACTGAGATGGATGCAACCAGGATTATTTTGGGGAGTGGCAAATACTATTGCTTCTCTACCAGCCACCAAAAAATATTCCTTGTAAAGGGCTACAGCCATTCTACTCTCCACCATTTCTCCTCTGTGCCTCTTCAGTGAAAAAGGAATGATAGTGCAGAGGAGATGTAGATCAGATGAGAGTTAAAATGCAACTACTGGACATGGTGACATTTAAAAAATCTCTGTTCTTGCTTTATTATTTATAGGAAAAAGACATATGCTGGGCACGAAATTCCCCTCAAAATCACCTGTTCAGAGCAATCTTGAACAATCTGTAAAAGAAAATTTTATGTTCTCCAATATGCTGCTTTTGTTTTTAGTTGCCTTTATTATGGTTTTTCTTTTTTTAACACCACCAACCAACCAAAATCTCCAAACATTTCAGTGTCTCAGTAGAGAGAAGGATGCTTGCGTGGAGTCCCTTTTCAGATGCCACAGCTTTCTGAGGCAAAACCTTCCTTTTTTTTTTTTTTCAAACTTAGAAATCACTTAAATTCACTTGGTGTTTCTTAAGCAAATCTTGATGAGAAGAACCTAGATCAAATACTGGATATGCAGATATAAGTTTGTCAGAAAAAGTCAGTAAACTTTCTCAACTTGGTTAATTTAACTGTATGTGAAAGAAGAGCAGACATCTCAAAGATTTTTATTACAGTATACATTTTGTAGAATCATAAAATGGTTTAGGTTGGAAAGGACATTAGAGATCATCCTGTTATGGGCAGGGACATTTCCCACTAGATCAGATTGCTTAAAGCCCCATCCAACCTGGCCTTGAACACTTCCAGAGGCAGGATATAATTACTACAATTTTATGAAAATAAATTGACAGGTAGGGGAGAGAGAAGCTGGATGTGCTTCAACACAGGTGTCTTAGTTTAGGGCAAATTAGGAAGGAAAACTCTAAATGGGGGTTTCCCCAGGGAAATGCCCCTCCCCACTAACTGGTCCGGGAAAAGAAAAAATTCTTTAGAGAGAAGTGGAAAAAGCTGTTTATTTAACAGAAATTGAGTAATATTAAATAATAAAACCTCTTGCTGTTCGATGGGATGGCAAATCTAGGAGGGAGAAAAAAAAAAAGTCCTTTTCATGTGGTGTAGCTCGGCTCGCTCAGGTTCTTATCAGTCCCTCCGGCGCTGGAAAGTGCCGAGGCCCAGGCCCCGGTGGGCCACAGGCGTGAGCTCCCGGGGTTTGGCTGGGTGTTCAGTCCAGAGCAGGCTTGCACAGATCCAAGAAAATTGGGAAAAAAACAAAGGTCCAGGGAACTCCTCTGCCTCAGCTAGCTAAAGCTAACTAAAAGCCAGAGAGAAGCTCTGTCCCGCTGTCTGTCCGTGCTGCAGACACCACAGTCCAGGAGCGGGATGTGTGGGAGTGATGTTTTTCCTTAACACAAACTGCGCGCTTCTTCTTCCCCCTCTCTTGCTCTCAAAGCCAGTCTTAAAGGTGCAGAACTTAATATGTAACATAAACCAGACGAGTGGGGATACCAGTATCATAAAGTCACCCCAGGACAACAGGGAAGGACAGCTGCAGAAAATGCAAACAGGAGACTAGCACTTCTAACTCCCCACTCAGTTCCAGCAGGACAAAATAGCTCCAGGACACAAAGCAAAGAGATGTTGTCCATCTTTGTTCTGATACTGAAGGGAGTCTTTTTAGGAGAATGAGTTTAAAATTCATTTTCCTCCTGAAGTGAAAGTTGGTAGACTCCTTCATATTTATTGTTTCTTGACATAAATAAACATCCTATCACCATGCCTATCATTGCAAAAAAGGCCCTATAATCATCTCTTGCTTTATTTATATATATTAATTATTTTCCTAATTGTAAACTTACATATAATGGTAACAGGAAGTGACAAAATGCACTGTGCAAAGATATCAAACTCCTCTATCAATATGTAGCCCCAATAGGAACTGAGCCTGTGCCAAACTTTTCACATGGCCTCTGTACCAGAAAGCAGATAAACAGGTTTCAGCCATTAAAAACGGATACTGAAAAACACCACCTCACTTGAGTTTTTTCACTAATTCATATTTTGGGCCTTTTACACTGCAATAATATATAACTTCCCTCTCTTTTTTTTTGGGAAGTCTGTAAAAAAATTCAAATACCCCAAACTTTGGCTGTTAGAGGTAAAGTTATGCTTGAAAACTGAGATTAGCTGTACAGGTCTATCAGTGCTTTTTAGAAAATGCTCCAGCCCCAAGTTTTATTGGTCTATGAGTCTATAATTAGATGCCTTTTTTCCCCTTCATTGAGGCAGATGTTGTAGATGCCACTCTCTACTGCTGACAGTTATCAGACAAACAATTTACATTAAAATATCTATTGGCTTGCAGGGATATGCTCTGATATGCTATTGCAAATATGCTCTGATAGGTGCTTTTGTGCTTCCTGTGACTTTTAATTGGCTCATCAGGGTCTGCAAATTGAGGGTATTTTTTGGCGTTTTTTGAATGCCTTGACCCTAAAAGTCTGACAAGTTATGGGAGAGCAGTTTTCTTGGTCTCCTGCTGAGGCAATGGTACAGATATTCTGAAAAGTAAGACAGGATGTAATGCACACTGCTGCTTCTCCCATTAGGTTTTGTTATTCATCTATAGTTGTGTGTCTGTGGGAAGGAAAGAGATTGTGAAAAACATGTTGGTGTTTCCATTGTGTTTGACTGTTTATGAACCCCATTTTGTTCTTCCTCCACACTCCTCTTGGTTAGGATTTATCTTGTTTTTATCAATGTATTTAGGTAATCTATGTTCCCCATAGAGTCAGTGGAGAAAGAGGAAAGAGGAACTTCCTGAAGGTAAACAGTCTCATCTGGGATAGGCGTCTCACAGAGGTATTGTTACTCATCCTCTGGAGCTAACTGTCTCTTCATTGAGGATGCAGCCACACTTAATGTCTGACTTTTAGTTAGAAAAGTTAGACCTGAGTCCTCCTTTCACTGTCCTTTTTCTGAGAAACTGCTGTTCCTTCTGATATTTGCTGTGATCCCATATCAATGTGTCTGCAATCAATTTCTCTAAATATCTCCAATAGGCCCTGTTCTGAAGACTAATGGCCATAGTCCCAGAATATAATGTCCTTTTTGAATCCTGGCACAGCTGTCATCATCTTTTCTTGATTTTTAGCAGTTTTCTTCATGACTCGACTTCCCCATTGCCTTTCACTACCCAGTTACTAACACAACCAGTACTATGCTGGTACATGATACTAGTGAAAGCCCCACATTTCTAGACAAGTGTCATGCACATAGAACCATTAAGACTAAATTTATTATTATGAAATAGTACTACTATTATTAATAGTATATAATAAGCAATAATGTATATTATATAATATTATATTATAAAGAAGGCTATAAACTCTTATAGCTTAATAAGTACAATAAAATAAAATTAAAAAAAAATGTAAAACTGGTCTGAAATTTTTCAAGCACTTGTAAGCACTTAAGTCTCAGCCCTGCAGCCTGAATTACTACTAGAACAGTCCTCCAACTCTGCACTTATTCTTATGAAGGACCATCAAAGGACATTTGTATCAAGGGACTTTTACAAGGGCAAGCAGTGATAGGTGTCCTGGTTTCAGCCAGGTCAGAGTTAATTTCTTCTCAGTAGCTGTTACAGAGAAGAACAGCAAGGATTTGCTTGTTTTGGATTTGGAATGAGAATGGTGTTGGTAACATACTGATGTTGGTTTTTTTTGGCTAAGTCTGGTTTATCAATAGTCAAGGACATTTTTTCCCTGCCTCCATGCTTTGCTAGTGAGGAGGTTAACAAAAGAAACTGGGAGGGGACATAGCCAGGACAGGTGACCTGAACTGACCAAAGAGATACTCCACACCATAGAACATCATGCCCAGCATATAAACTGTGAAGATTTAAATGGAAGGACATCTGATCTGGGTTTGGGAATGAGGGGTCTGGCTCTGTTCAGTGGGTGGTGAGCAATTATATTGTGCAGCACTTGCTTTTTTCCCTTTTCGTTATTATTATTTATTTACCGTTATTACTGTATTTTACTTTGTTTTCAATTATTAAACTGTTCTTATCTCAACCCACAAGTTTTACATTGGCTCTTCTCATTCACCGATGGGTGGCAGGTGAAAGGGGGGAGTTGAGCAAGCAGCTGCCAGGTTTAATTTCCATTTGTGCTTAAACTGTGACAATAGGATGAGGGGAAATGGCTTCATACCGTAAAAGGGCTGGTTTAGATTTGATACATGGAATAAATTTTTCTGATGTAGGTGGTAAGACACTGGCACAGGTTGCCCAGAGGAGTTGTGGCTGCCCCCTTTCTGAAGTGTTTGAGGCCTTACTATCCAGTAACATTCTCATATGCATATCAGGAAGGTGAAACCAATGCATTAGAAAACCTGGAGGAGCTCTCTCCACTCATATTACCAATCTGACGTGTGTAAGGTGACAGACTGATTGCTGCAGTCAGCTTAAACTCTGGGTAAGCAGGATATCAAATTGCAGATTCTCTTACATGAAAGAAATCCTCCTTGAAATTTTCTTGTGCTCTGGTCCATGCCTGGGCTTCCCTTTCTACAGAATAAAAGTATGATACCCTGAGTCTTCTAGGAAAATTAAAATAAGCAAGTGCTTGACTATGGCACTGGATTTTTTTATAACTTAAACACTTTCAGTGAAATTAATATTTTAAATATATTTTGCTTAAATGACAGTTGTTAGTCTTACTGGTAATCAAGCCTCAGGAAAAGAATGGGAGGCTCAAACAGCACTAATATTCATCAGCAACCTAAAGGGATCTTTCAAAATTTAAATTAGTCAAGATATGTCAGTGTAATATTGGAACAATAGAGCAATGAATCAGGGCCCTGGTATTTTTTGTTCCCTTTCAAATCCAGGTATACAAGGAAGTAGAAAAGCAAAAAAAAAAATATTTGGGTCTCAAGTGAAACTTTGCGGAAGTCCAAGTGATTTCATTGTGATTTCAGAACACTTCAGCTCTGAAATATGGTGAGATACAGAACTGAGTAAAGAGTTTGATCTTCAAGATCCTTTTCTGGTGAAAAAATTGTGTTAGGTGATGTTGTGAGTATATATTGACTTGTAAATAGCTTATTTGAGAGTGGGACTGTCTCTCTCCCAAATAAAAAATGTGGAAAAATGTTTTTTTTTCCCCCTGGAATTTTTATTTTATTTAAAAATATATTAAAAATTCAATGGGATCCAGATTACTTAGAATTTTCTCCCTGTTCCATTAAACTCAAACTACTTTCAGTTGAAATGAGAAGATTTTTTTAATATTTTTTAACCTCACTGGTAAAGAGAAACTGTATAAAAGACTTGAGATAAATCAGTGGAGTTTTTTTTCCAGAAAGCCTGTGCCATGCTAGATTTACAATGCTAGCTCCTACAAACTAGCAAATTGTGTTTTTGTGTGTCTCGAGATCTGTGATGTGGCTGATGATTTTGATGATTTACATAAACTGGTACTCTTGAGAGAGCTTGAATGACAGGAGGATTGAGATGAGGAGCTACTTCATTAGCTCCATATGATGGCAAGAAAGAGAAGAATATGCTTGACCATGTTTCCCTGAAGCAGCAGGGGAAAGAGATTTTTTATCTAATAAAATGGCTCCCATTTTCCATTCTTTAGGGAAATTTTAATTTTGTTTTTAATATCTAAACTCCTTCTGTTTAAGTAGACTAGAATAAGTGGCACTAAAATGACAAGAACTGCCCTCCTCCTGTCAGTCAGTGCTGTAGGAAATGCTAGAAGATGCTGTCCCTGACCCAGAAGGAGATGTGAGCTGACCAGGCAGGATGAAAAAGACCCTTCTCTGACCTCTCCACATGCTGGTGAGCTGCAGACCTGGGCTTTGTTTTCAATAAGTAAAACGTCTCTGTTTCTTTACTGATTGCTAGAAAGGGTGGGCACAGCACTTGCACTCTGGCCCTCCTGCATCTCTTGTGGTACAGCAAAAAGGGGGGACAACATGGAAAAGAGGAGCAGAGGTAAAGCAGTTACAAATTCATGTGTGGCCTAAACAAGGGTGAGAAAGTTTAATATGGTTATTAATTGTTATTGTTTTATGAAAAATACAAATCTCCACTCAAAGCAGCACAGACAAAGAAATCTGGAGTGACAAGAGTTGGGCAATTAATTTCTTTCCTCTGAAACAGGGTCCTGCCAGTCAGTTGTCTATTAGCAGCTGACAGTTATGGGTTAATGAAGCTGTAATTTGGTGTGTCGGGACAGATGGATGGTCAGGGCAGTGGGTGAGTTATAGAGGCTTAGCTCAAGCCTTGAAGGGGGATGAGAGAAGTGGGAGGACAAGAGCTGGAGAAGTTATCAGTGTGTATTTCCTTTAATGCATCAGGATCTGTTGTTTGTATGACCTCTCTGCTGGCAAAGAATTCTGTGAAAATTATTTCTTTCTGACTTTTCTTTATCCCTTCACAGCACTGGTGATGGTCCTGAATAGCACAAGTGTCAGCTGGAGTGCCCGCATTCAGATGTTCCTTACCTTTTGTAAGCTTGTAGCAATTCTGATAATTATAGTCCCTGGAGTTATCCAGCTAATTAAAGGTACGAAATGAAAAGTAAATGCTTTTAGAGAGCTTTTATCTTATTTATACCCTCCACAGTCTTTCCCCACTTGCCTCTACCACATAATGCTTACAGCAGCAAAATCTCTAATTAGTTTGTGCTTGCTTAATTGAGGTTCAGTACTGTCATGTCATTGATTAGAGTGGAACTACATTGGAATGAACTGGTATTTCCTTCAGCATGCCAATAAGACTATTCCAATCAGACTTGCTTTTCAAAGGAGCAAATAGACTGCTCTTCTCTGTAATCTGTTTTTGGCTTGAACTTTGTGAAAGGGGCAGGATGGGATTTAAAGGCAGATGTGCATACACTTCCCCAGAGTATGTGCCCAGTCCAGGCAGGATGTCTCCTCTGACTGTGCTAGTCCCTAGCCATGGTACATGTGTGTGCTGGTAGAGGGGGCTTACAATTCACAGAATCACAAAATCATATGGTGGTTTGGGTTGAAAGGGACCTTAAAGATCATCTAACTCAAAACCTCTTCCACTAGGCCATGTTTCTCAAAGGCCCATCCAAAGCCTTGAACACTTTCAGAACATCCCCAGCTTCTCTGAAAAATCTGTTCCAGTGCCTCATTACTGTCACAGGGAAGAATTTTTCCTAATATCTAATCTAGATGTGCCCTCTGTCAGTTCATAGCAGTTTCCCCTTGTCCTGTCAGTACATGCCCTTGTAAAGGCCCTCTTTTCACTGACACGTGCTCAGCTGCCTGTAGAAACTTTTTTATACCCTGAGAAGCAGGTGTGAGATGGTGACAAGCCCCAGGTCATCCTCCTTACAACAGCTACACAGAGCATAAGCAGCCATTAAGCATAGGAGGCAGAGTAGGGAGGGAGCACTCTTGACTGTATTGGTGACAGATTTTACCTAACGAAAACTATCACAGCTTTTGGTTATGTCCCAGGGGATACACTTTTCTGATACTCACAAACCCTCCCCCCCAAGTGAAGTCTTGTGTTAGTCAGTGTTATAGTAAGCTCTGTTTCCTCAGGGACAGATGGCTCTCTGTGGTTAATATAGACTCTGAAATAAAAGTTTTCCTGTGTAGCACTCTGCTGATTCACTGTTTTTGTTTTCTTGTTTTTCCCTTTCTTTCTGGCATTTGCAATGCCATTTCCTGTTGCAGATGACACATGAAATGTGCAAAATTTCTCTCGGTTCCTATCTGCCCCACTTTTCGTAGACCTTTGGAGCATGTCAAACTCAGGTTTGGTTGGGGATTGTTGCCCTGAAGTAGCTCAACTAGTGTCCCCGATTCTCCACTGGGACCTTCCTCTGGCCACAGTTTCTCCCTTAACCAAAAAGTCTATGCTTCAATGGGAATTTTGACTGAGGGCTCAGTCAAAACGGAGTAAAGGGTAGAGGATGTGACTCATTGCTAATTTAACTCTGAATTAATTTTCTTCCTGCTCCATATCTGTGGAGGATCATTGCTTCTCAGGAAATTTGGGATATGGTGGGGACATAAAGCACTTAGTAAATGAATAAGAGCGTAACAAAAGTCTTGCATATTTGCACTTATAGATATGTAGATAATTCTTAATTGATGTACTATTAGTACAGTATTGATTATCATGGTTGGGAGCTACTAAACTAATTTTTCAATAGTAGAAATGTTTTAAGATTTTGGGTTTATTTATCTTATAAATGTTGCTTCTGAATGAAATGCCAGCAAAGTTCCTTCTGATTAAAATGTTGAACAAGTGAAATTTTCCACATCAAAAACTACTGAGCTCATTCTGCTCTTTCATGTAAGCTGATGTAAGTCACTGCTGGAAATGACAGAGCAGTGAGTGTCATCAAGCTCAGAATGCTTTGAAACAAACGAATAGGTCAAATTCTCCTACTGCATGAATCCAGATGCCACAAAGCCTTTTTGTTGGCAGATTATGGCTGCAAGGATTGGGTCAGAATTTAAGGTCAAGGGCAGAACTTGATGTCAGTGAACAGTTGGCTGAATAAATGTTCCATGATGTGTTATATTTTTTTTTAAAAGTAGTTATGACCAAAAAGCTTATTTTTCAACATTTTTTTTGTTGATTTTACAGGAGAAACACAGCACTTTAAAAATGCCTTTGCAGGGAATGATGCCAGTATTATGGGATTACCACTTGCTTTCTATTCAGGAATGTATGCCTATTCAGGCTGGTAAGTGGATAAAAGTTATATATATTTATCCTGAAAACAAACACTAGTATGCTCTAACAAAGACATTTATTTTATGAAGCTGTGAGTATCACATTCTACATCTTCTGCCAAGCTACATCATACAACTAGGGTAGTTCTCACTACTGTTCCATATGCTCAGTGGTCATTGTGCAAGCAGCTCTGCAAAGGAAAGATATTTCTTTTCAGTGTACAATTATATAAATATGCACTGACAACCAAAATAATCAAACCACAATAAAGGAATATTCTTCATTTTTCATTAAATACTTTAATAAAATAATAAAAAAGAATAAACTAAAGCTTTAATTTTTTTTAGTCAGTAATTACATAAAAAATAAATCTGTTACTCTGTTACAAAGTTGTGTGGCCCTTAGCCTTGCTTTGTACAAGAAGTATTTGACAAGTAAGAATCGGTGAGATTGGTGTGGACCACAAAACAAAATAAAAATCTCTAGATTTTTACACTTCTTGCTCTGAGAGATTTGAAACTTAAAAGAAGTGCAACTGGCTTCCACAAAAGTCAAGTGTGATTGACTGTGAGCAGAAGTATGGGAATCTACCTTCAGGTATTCTGCTTAGAACTTTCAAGTTCTTTCTCTCTTTCCCCTCCAAAGTACACAGCAACTGCTTTGTAAGGTGCTGCCACTTCTTGAATCTGCCTGTACAATTTATTCATGCTCATGAGGGCTCCACATTGTAGTGCCAAAGGGCTTTTGCAGCAGCAGTGTTGGAGGAAGAAGACAGACTGCAGTGCACAGAGTGGGCTTATTTTGAGATAGCTTTGTCTGCAGGTCTTCCCTTTGCTTTCCATAGGCTCATAGGCAGCCAGGTTCTTTACCTTGCGCAAAAAACGAGGGCTGCTAGATAAGGGGTTTATTTATTCAATTTGGAGGGACAATGGGCTGAGCATTGGAGTTCTCTACCCATCTGTAATTCCCTGGTTGCAGGAGCATTATAAATCTGTATACTGAAGTATGAACAGAACTTTATATATTAAATGGCAGCAGGGGAAGAAACCCAAGAGAGTCCAAAGCCTTTATCTGCAATAGATATATATGAAAAGAGCCTGGCATTTTGAAGCCTCAGAGAAATGGAATTGATCATGTGGACCATCTCTACTTCCCCCTCTCTTCTATAACTGCTTTTGTCTCTCATATCCATACATGTAATGGTTTCTCACTTTTTAAGTATTAACCTAAGTTTTTGTATGAAAGCAATTTTAAAAGCTCTTTAATATTCAGAATTTCTTGTCTGCAAAATGCTTCATCAAAATACTGTTATTTTTTCCATATATCTTTACCATTTTTCACATAATGGTTCAAAGCCTTTCAATAAAAAAATATCTTTTTTTTTTCTCTTTACACCTTCTGACTTTTATTTCAAGGTCCTTATTTGCCACTTATAAAAGAAGTTAGCAGGCAAAAGACCTATTTTGGCTAGTGGTTCTTCCCAGCTGTCAATTTTTCTTTGTCATCACCTAAATTCCTCACCTCAGAACATGGAGGAGCAGACCATTAAGTGAAGTGTCAATATCCTTGCACTATCAGTTTCATGGGGCTAAATCAATATAATCAGCTGGATGTGAAGGAGTGTAGCAAGTGTTGATGATGCAGGTAGAATTTTATGCATAGCTCAAAAGACTGTTAGCTTTTAACTGCTGACTTTTAATGATACCACTTTGAAGAAGAAAAGAAAAGCAGTATATCTTCTGTGTGTGGGTTCATCCTACCAAGAACAAGTGTAGACTATTAGGTATATAGAATGCTGTCTGGAAAAGGACAAGTGGAGAAAAGAATGCAAGGAACCATGTCTTTGCATCAATGAAAGGACTGATGCTGGGCTATCATAAACAGTTTGTGTTGAAGGGACCTTAAAGATAATTTTGTTTCAGCCCCTTGCCAAGGGTAGGGATACTTCCTACTAGACCAGGTTGCTAAAAGCCCCATGCAGCCTGGCTTTGAACATTTCCAGGGATGCAGCATCCACCACTTCCTTGAGCAACCAGTTTCAGTGCTCCACCACTCTCACTGTACAGACGTTTCCTCCATGTATCGGTCTTCTGTGCTCTATGCACTAGGAACTTTAAAGACAAGTACTGATGTTTTTGGATAAGGTGACAAAGAATTTCACGTTCAGTCACAAAATCACTATTTTTAAAAAGCCATCAGCCAGCATTAAGTTGTTCTGCTAACCCAGTTCTGCCCCAAGACTTGAGATGGGGCAAAGCTCCCAGATTTTCTGTCAGATCAGTCACCTGTTGTTTATTCAGTGCAGCACTGCTGGCTCAGGTGCCATTTGTCTTTCTGCACAAGAGCAGAAGACCAGCATAGGCACTGTATTGACTGCTCTGTTTAATTAGACAAGATCTGACTCTAGGCCTGTCTCCAAGCCAGGAACAATTGTGATCCAGTCAGGCACAGACCTAGTGCTAATAAATGTAGGACAGAGGGTTCAGTGACCTTGAGGCTTATGGTTGCTTTGTATGCAGGGCTGTGCCTGCTGAGCAGTTCCTATGAATTCCCATACAGAGCTATCTCTTGAATGCTACTGGAATATGATCAGGAGTGCAATCTGTACTGGAGGTTGTCCAAGAGTGTGCAGGGCTAGCAGCCTGTGTCTGAGATTCTATACAAGTTCTTGGTTTAGGAGGGGTTTTTCTAAGGCTTCAGTTATTTGTATTGTTAAGAAGCCCTTGCTGAGTACTCTTACAAGACTTCTTGCCAATATAATCTGAAACTGTAAAAGGCAGCAAACAAAAATGGAATACAAAATTTGAAGGGTGCATGTGTGTGTATGTATATAATTAGAGTAAGCCATTACCTCCCTAGTATGTCAGGAGAAAAAAGTAATTACACACTGACTTCACATAGTTATTGTCTCTTTCTTTTCCTGCTTTGTTGTGTTTTCTGAGAAATTCCTTCCTGAGTGTGGAGATCAGGGAAGGTTAAATATCACTCTCTCCTTAATCCAAACATGGGCCTGCAAAGCCTACTGTAATTAACAGCAGTGATTAAATAAAAGCATCTTCTTGATTCTTAGTGAAAGAAATACAGAATAAAAATTAAGAATATAAGAATAAATCTTATAATACATTTTATAACTATTTTCTAGGTTTTACCTCAATTTTGTTACCGAAGAAGTGGAAAACCCTGAAAAGTATGTACTTAATGTTTTGCTTGACTTTTGAAAAATGGTAGCGGAATTTAAAATGTTGTAAAAGTAGTGATCTTCAGAAGTTCTGTATGCTGGTCAAGCTGCTTGCCTTCCAGCAGATCTGGTATCTATTTGAATTGCAAATGCTTGAAGATTTGCTATTTTTGGTCTTTTGTGACCTTATTATATATTCTGCTTTTATGTGCATAGAAAACAGAAAATTGAGTAGATCTCTAGGGCTCCGGTTCTCCCCCTCAGCATACAAGTAACTATCAGTGGCTCCTTTCAGTGGAAGTTACTGATATCCTGTCAGGGAAATCTTGCCCAAGAAACTTACCTGCTGCAATACTTGTCAGTTTTGCTGTGTTTAAATATTAATCAAATAGTTAGTTCTACTTATTTTAGTTGTCTCAGAAATGCAGGATCTTGAATACACATCACATAGTATCCAATCTAATTAAACCGAACATGGGATATGGGTCCAAGCCTGTTTCCAACCAGAGATAAATACTCTCACATCACTTGCCTGTAAAACATAGAAAGAAAAGTTACTTTGTTAGGGAGAGTTTGATTTGTTCCATCTATTTTGGTAGATATATTTTGGTATGTGGGGCCAGTAATAAAAAGCTACTAACGTTTTCTAAAAGTTAGAGAAAATAAGCCTTTTCAGATCAATTTGTTTTCTTTCAGGAAAATAAACTATTTACTTGATAAAGAAATTAATGGCTAAATATAATTTACTTGGGTTTTAAAAATAAGATAGCTGGCTGGGTACCAAGTTATTTTTTATTTTAAAAGGACCCCCAGCACTGTACACTGGGATAATATGAATCTGAGACATATGGGGAAAGAAAACCCCAAGCCATTGATTCGGAGCATACAGAAGGTTTTTGTTAGTTTCTTCAAAGTTTGAACCAAACCTGGTGCTGTTTCAGAGGTCTGAAAATCATTATAAGGAAATGGATAATAAAACATGAGGCTGGTAGAATGACTGGCAGATTTCCATTGTTTCAGTGACTTGGAGATGTGTTGTGTGTTATCAGTTTCTTTGATGTGATCAGGATATGTAGAGTGAGAATTGTGTGACTGGAATCTGAGACCAGACAGATGCAGGTAGAAAATACTGCATTAATATTTATGAGTAATCATTATGGCAGGTACCTATGTACAAATGGCTTTTTCACTGATAAAAAAATATTTGGTTCTGATAAAACACCATTTTAGGAGTTGTGGTTTAGTAAAACATGACTCTGGATGTATTTAAAATGTGTAGATGTGTCACCCTGAAAAATTAAAACCTTCTGATAATGTTTTCATAGTTTTAGTTACTTTCCCATGAAAGTTCTATAAACATAACTTGTTTATTCCTTCTAAGAAACTTCTTTTGATGGACATTTCACATGACCAGTGTGCTTGAGAAGGTGGTAACTTGATTGTCCAATCGCTGGTCATTGTCAAGAATCTATAAACAATGGAGTCAGAGAATAAAGTGGCTTTTTCCTGCTCTAACACTGAGGGACGTTCATGTGAATCATTTTGTGTCCTTTAGCAACATAGATGTACTTGGGGACCTGGTTTAGTGGTGGACTTTGCAGTGCTGGTTTAATGGTTGGACTGTAAGGTCTTAGAGGTCTTTTCAAACCTGAAGGCTTCTATGCTTCTAAGTGATTTGTGTCAGTGGAGATCAGCTGGCTAAAGATTCCCTGGCCTGGGACACACATGAACCCAAGCTGGATGATCTGGGGTTTAACTACCAAGGATCTGTGCTTTTTATAAAATCATGAGAGGCAGACATTAAAACCAAAAGACAACCTACACATTTTTTTACTTTTGAAAAATTGCTGTATGACAGACGGATTTTAAATGTGAAACTAAGTGTAGGAGTGAAGGGATTCTGGTCCAGGACATCTATTACTTCAGGAAACTCTGGGGAGATAGGTTAGGAGTCTTGGTGGTGTGATCAAATTCAGCTAGAAGCAATATAATTTGTAAATTATAATGCAGTTACCATCAATACAGCGTGATCTTTTTAAACATGCAGATGTCTACATCCTTTGGGACTTCTCATACACTTCTGTGTCTGCAGTTCTTTTAACTGGAATTCTTGGTAATTTTCATTATAATTGTTTTGATATATGTTGAGTTTTTTGGTGATTTGAGCCAGACGAGTGCCTATTTTTGAACATTTTGCTCTCTGCTGCATAGGACAGAAAAACATAGTTCCTCTCTTTTTTAAAACCTAAGCACCCCTTAAAGCATGATATAGCTCAGCTAAGAGAAGTGGTGCTGGTTCAATTCTGATGGGTTTTTTTTCCATTGCTATAACTTTTAAATTCTGTTTATTTTCTTTCTCTTTCTTCTGTGCTGCTTCTGCACTTCTCTTCACTCCTGGATTTCTCAGCTTCTCTGAGCTGAGCTCCCTGAGGATACTCCCTCACAGGGAGTGCCGCTTATCGCAATTCTCTGGGTCAGGACGAAAACTCCAAAGCTCGTTAGGATCTTGTTTCTTGTGTTTATTAGGATGTTATCACAAAACTTAGCAGATCTCTCCAGACTTTCTGCACAAGTTTAATTCGTCTTGCTCTTACGGCTCACTTTATCCTTGTAGGCACAAAATGGCTCTGAACTATGCAGTTCTTTTATATTTATACTTATTCTTAGCCAATTAAAAATAGACACATATATTATTTTTCTTTATGACCCAATGATCTAACACCTGTGTGCTGCACTGCGGCATTTTCTATCCATTCACTTACTATTACCCAAAAACCTCTAGAAGAAGAACATGAAGAAGAAAGAAGGAAAAGAAACAATGGTCTAAATCCTCCATCTTGTCTTCTTTCTAAACTAGCTTAAACTCTAAACTAAGTTTTTCACCCAGTGACTTAAGAAAATTCTCTAATCTACACACACTTTTGACTTTTCTATCTAACTTTAACAGTTGTTTTCATTTAACACTACAAAAACATGCCCATAAATTTCACGTTGTATGAAATTCAGTGTTCTTCTGGATGTCAGAGCTAGGCATCAGAAACAAGGGTACACACTCTGTGTTTCAGACTCCAACAAATTGCAGCTGGGATGTGAGGGAGGAAGGCTATCTTTTACCACCTTGAAAGAATTTCTCTGTTCTCCAGGTTATCCTTGGAGAACTGCTGAAGTTATTTGTGCTGCTAGTGAGGATGTAGTACTGGAGGGCAAACCACATACCCTGGCTGGTTTAGTGTATTCCAGGATGGTACTGGAAATGAAACAGCTCAGTATTGCTAACATGTTATATAATAACATGTTATTGTGATAATATGTGCACTGTTATCACAAGGCTCTTAAAGCTTCCCTTCATCAGTCTTCCTCTTGAGGCTGCACTTTGAGAGGATGAATAGATGCCCAGTTTTTACAATTTCTGTGCAAAGGTATTATATAGAATAGAAGAGAGTGGGATTTTAAAAATTGCTAAATAAGTGGCAGGTGAGGGTGAGGCTTGTTGGGTTGTTACTGTCTGTGCTGACAGAGACCTCTGCATCACCTGTAAATGGGGATTCTGGACTCCTTTGAGCTGAAATAAGCAATTAAAAGAAAAAATTGGAACATATTTTTTTATCTGCTTGCCACCTGTGAATGGCTCTGTTGGAAAGATGTCCTGAACCAAGGCCTGCACAATCATTGTTCCCAAAGCTACAGAGCAAGTGAATAGTGTGGATTAATCTCAGTGACAACTGCCTCAGCTCCCACTAAATCCAGTGCAAATGTTAGATGAGCCACTAATTGTTCTGCTGTTGTAGGCATATATTAAGACTCAACTAGTTTTTAATTTTTTATTTATTCAGTTTTTTAAAAATTAAAATGCAGTCTTTCATTCTTGCTGTGAGCCTTATGTTAAAGGTTGCACTGAGCCACCTGGCCTAGTGGAAGGTGACCCTGTCCATGGGCAGGGGACTTAGAGCTACAACTCTGGTTGGTCCCTCCCAAACCGAACAATTCTGTGATTCTACTATACTGTATTTCTTTGTAGGTATGATGTAGCTTATTTTAAAAAGGAAGAGGAAAGTACAGGCTTTAACCACTTGGAGCTTGTAACAGCTCCAGGTATGCAATTTGTAATGTTTGTCAATGATTAGGATGAATGCAAATTACTTACAGCAAAAGAGGGTGAGCACAGTGAGGTCTTCTGCCTTGAACCTGCCAAAGTAAATATTTGCCTGAGAATCAGTCACAGTTGTGCATTTCCAGGTCTGCGACAGCTTTCTAAATAACTGAGGTAAATGATCAGCTCCATGCCTGTGTGAACCAGCAGGTTGCAAACCCCTGGTGAGCGTAGCAAAGGGATGTGCCAGGTTTATAGCAAATGGATGGCAGGAATGCTCTAGCAGAGAATAGGGATAGGGCTTTGAGCAACCTGGTCTGGTAGAAGGTGTCCCTGCCTATGGCAACAACATTGGAACAAGATGATCTTCAAGGTCCCTTCCAACCCAAAACATTCTGTGGAGGTGGGCCCTAGAACATATCCTGAGATGCATTGGAAGGCAGAAGCATCTGCTATTAGGCATTAAGTTTCCCAGACAGGGATTGCATTTCTTTCTGTGGTGTATAGCACCAGGAAAACCTTTTGGAGTATGGCATGTGTCATTGGGAATGCAGGAGAGAGGCAGGGAAAGGGGGATGCTTGTGTCCTTGCCCAGTCCCCTTTGTGCTTCAAGTGGTTGTTTGTAGAGGCAGGAAGGGCTTTGGATGCTGTGGGAATCTGTGGAGGTGCAACTGCCTGCCTGGGTGCAATAAATTCCATGCTGTCTTGCTTTGAAAAAGACAGATGTCTGCTAAGGAAGGCAGAAACCTCCACTGAAATAAATAAAAATGTAAGCCACCACCCCCCCAACCCCCCCTTCAAAATATTATAATCTCGAAATCGAGGTGCTCTCAGGCAAAGATATGGGAATAGGAATAACAGGTCTTTACTAAGGAAATTAAAATAAAAATGCAGTAGTACAAAAAAAGAAAACTAACAA